CCTGGTCCCAGGGGAGCCATCCCATTTGGAGGCCAGAGTGCCACGTTGGCTGGGATGGCACACAGCCACACCTGACTCGCTGCTTGTCTGCACTTCTGCCCTGTCTGTTGCAGGAAGAAATGCCGCTGTTGTTTCTTCTCCTGCTGGAGCCTCCTCCTTCTGTTCTTTAGTTTTTATAATTGTGTGTACAGGTGTGTTCAGCAGCACGTATGTTTGCACCGTGTATATGCAGTGCTTATGGTATGTAGGGCTCCGTGTGGGTGCTGGGAACGTAACCAGAGCCCTCGAGAAGAGCAGCCGGTCCTCTCCACCCCCGAGCCAGCCCCCTCCCCCCCCAGCCCCACAGCTTCCTTTGTGGTGGTTCTCTTTCTGACGGCATTAAAACACAGCATGGCAAACTCTGAGTTTAGACAGTGTGGGCAGTCAGAGCTCTGTCTAGGAGCTGGACAGAGCCTTGAGCGCCGTGGTCTCCTCCACTTGTGCTCTGAAAGGTTAAATACGGAAGGTAGGAAAAAGTAAATACTGCAGAATGTTTAGGGTTTTGTTTTAGTTGTTGAGTTGTTTGTTTTAGTTGGGGGCGGTTGTTGGGGTTGGTGGTGGTGTGGATTAAGTGTGTGTGTGTGTGTGTGTGTGTGTGTGTGTGTGTGTGCGCGCGCGCGCGCGCGCGCGCGCGCGCAGACCTGTGGAGTCAGAGGACAACTTTCAGGAGTAAGTTCTCACTTCCACTGCAGATCCAGGGATGAAGTTCAGCTTGTCAGTCCTTCATAACAAGCAGTTTCTTTTCTTTTTTTTCTTTTTTCTTTTCTTTATTTATTTCCTTTGAGTCTTTGTTACCGTTTGAAACTCTCAGCACCCAGGGTAATCTTGAACTCACAGTCCCCCTCCCTCAGCCCCCTGAATGCTTCAGTTACAGGAGAGTGCACATTTGTGGCTCCTTTCCCCCTTTGGTGTACATCAACACAGTCACCACCTGTACGCATGTTTCTGCTCTCTTCCCTTCACGTCTTTTGGCAATGGCTTTATAGTAGGGCATAGAAAGTGGCCTTGTACTTAAGAGTCACAGAGTGGTTTCTCCATGGAATAGTGTACAACCACCAGCCCTGAGATCATTAGATTCAGACAACTGTGGAGACCAGAGAGCTAGATGAAGAAGAAACAATAAGAGGTGTTGAAGTCACACTCTTTCTGAGGGAATTATTTGTATCGGCATTTTAGGATGAAGCTCAGTGGTAGAGCGCCTGCCTAGACTCTCCCGGTGAGGGGTTGGGGTGTGGCTCAGTGGTAGAGCCCCTGCCTAGACTCCCCCAGTGAGGGGCTGGGGTGTGGCTCAGTGGTAGAGCCCCTGCCTAGAATCCCCCAGTGAGGTGCTGGGGTGTGGCTCAGTGGTAGAGCACCTGCCTAGAATCCCCCAGTGAGGGGCTGGGGTGTGGCTCAGTGGTAGAGCCCCTGTCTAGACTCCCCCAGTGAGGGGCTGCGGTGTGGCCCAGTGGTGGAGCCCCTGCCTGGAATCCCCCAGTGAGGGGCTGGGGTGTGGCTCAGGGGTAGTGCAATTGTTTATCATCCTCAGAGGGTTTTTGTTGTTATTGTTGTTTTTTTAAGTCCATGCTAGGCATGGACTTTGCCCCTGAGCTATACCTCTCGCCCTGCTGCATATAATCTGCAAGTTGTATTAGCTCCATAGATAGGACCCATACATGTTCTTTTCATCATCTATTCCTGTGGCTTTCCTAAGTAAGACCTTCCCCGAAGCAGAACTGCCTGTGTGGAGAAAGTACCCATTTCAGTGTCTTCCGTGGGTCTTTTTATACTCTCTCCAGAGGAGGGGCTGGACGCTTCTTCTGCAGAAGCTATTCTGAGACAGACCTGCTCCTCACCAGGGCAGAGGAACCTGCAGTGAGGCTCCTGGGGGAGGGGAGGCCTGCCAGCCACCTCAGGAGAGCATCTTGAGTGTGTTCTGCCTGGGTCTGTCTGTCCTTCTGCCTCTTCCTGCTCTCCTCCCAGCTGTAAGCTTTTAATTTGTCCAGAGAATTCCTCCCCCATAAGGGACAGAGATAGCTTACCTTAGGCCTGTGGGTTGATTTAGGCAGGAATATGGCCGGACAAGAAAGCCCGCTGCCCTCTCTGCCTGCCTTTGTTAAAATCGCAAAGGCAGCCGCTGAGAAATAGAAAGAGAATGCAGACTTCAGAGCCTCCTGCAGCCCAAGACATCTCCCTTCATTTCTGGGCTCAGAGATGCTTTCTTTCTCCAGTAACAAATGGGGAAGGCCAGGTGCCAGCCTGCTTTAGGCTGCTTGTGACACACATTTGTGGTAAAATAGACTCAGTTCAGGAGAGAGAGCCTTTCACCATGCAGTGTGACTCCTGCTCTCCAGAGGTGATCTTTAGCCTTCACGCCCCCAGGAAACGGTGTTCTGTAAGCAGAGTGTAGTTTGCAAATCAAACATGCACATGTGTCAGGCATCATATTAGTGTTTCAGTCCATCTGTGATATAAACATGACAGGTATGGTGGCTCAGGCCTCCAACCTGAGCACTCAGGAGGCTGAGGCAGGAGGACAGTATGTCCAGTATGTCCAGGCCAGCCTGAGCAAGACCCTCTTTCAAAAAAGCCAAGCAGAAGAACAAAGGAAGGGATGAGGGCTGAGATGTATTTCAGTAATAGAGTGCTTACCCAGCATGCATGAGGCCCTGGGTTTGATCCCATCGTCACAAAGAAATTAACTAAGTTTTAAAATAAGGGCTGTGGAGATGGCTCAGTGGTTCCGAGCACTGGCCTCTTTTCCAGAAGATCCAGTACCTTCCTCTGTCCTCTGGGCACCAGGCAAAGGAGCATACTGCACAGACATACGTGCAGGCAGAACACACATACACATAAATAAAACTTAAAATTGAAAATAGGGAGCAGGAGCAGATGCATGTGTCTTTAATCCCAGTACTCTGGAAACAGAGGAAACTGGGTGTGTATAAGTTCAAGGCCAATGTGGGCTACACAGTAAGTTTGTTCTAGAATATCCAGAGCTACAGAGAAAGACCATCTCAAAAGAAACCAAAAAAACAAACAACAACAACAAAAATACCACAAGAATAAGTGGGAAAGGCTTTTTTGGTTTTTGTTTGCTTGTTTGGTTCTTGTTTTTATTTATTTTCTGTGTGTGTGTGTGTCTGTGTGTGTCTGTGTGTGTGTGTCTGTGTCTGTCTGTCTGCAGGCCAGAAGAAGGCATTGATTCCCCTAGAGTTGGAGTGACAAGTGGTTGTGAGCCATCCACCATAGGATTTGGGAACCAAACTTGTGTCCTCTGGAAGAGCAGCAAGCTCAGAGCCATCTCTCCAGCCCTCCTTTGGTTTGGCTTGTATTTCCAGACGGCAGATGGGGTTCACATTTTGAAGAACACCACCTCCTAAGTGTTAGGATTGCTGCCACACCTGGCATGAGGCACAGGCTGAATCTAATGGGACTTGGGGCTTAGTGTGTGCTGGACAAACACTCTGCCAACTGAGCCACACACAGCCCCTGCTGTGCAGGTTCAGAGCCTGGTGCGAGGTGGGGTCTCATCAGGCCTTTGTTCCTTTCACCGTTTCTCCTTAGGAGTGGAAGGACTCAGGTCAGAGCCTGGGTTTTCAGCAGGATGTGAGTCCTGGGCCAGGCCACAGACAGGAAAGAGGAGGCCTGCAAGTGACACTGGCCATGGGGCTTCTGGGTAGAAGGCAAGGAGCCATGGGGGAGCAGGCTGGTTAGCAGAGAGCTGGGAGCCACAAGGGCCTCTGCCTCAAACATCTGCTTCTGTCAGATCCCAGAGCCGTTCTCCGAGGCATTCTCCAGCTGTGCGACACTGTCTTGCTCACTTTTCTATTGCTGTGAAGAGACTGTGACCAAGGCAACTTGTAAAAGAAAGTGTGTATTTGGGGCCAACAGTTTCAGAGGGTTAGAGTCCATGGCCCCCATGGCCGGGAGCATGGTGGCGGGCAGGCAGGCATGGCACTGGAGCAGTACTGAGAGCTTACTTCTTGAGATACAACCCCTAGGGAGGGACAGAGACACTGGGAATGGGGAGAGCTTTTTGGAACCTCAAAGCCTACCCCCAGTGCCACACCTCCACTCCCTTCCAAATAGTTCCACCAGCTGGGGACAGGGACCAAGTATTCAGACAGATGAGCCTGGGGGGCCACTGTCATCCAAATGTAGGGGGACTCGTCCGAGATCCCGCAGCAGGAGCAGGCAGGGCCAGGATTGAGAGCCCCGCCTGTTCTCCTGTTCTCTCCTGGGCCCAGTGACCCCAGAGGTAACCTAACTGCTCTGGAAAGCTGTGGAGACAGAGCTGCAGGTCAGCACGGCAAAGAGTGAGGAGGAGAATGACCTCTGCTTCCCGTCTGCCCTCTGGATTGGGAGACCAAGCCTAGGGTGGCAGCAGTTGGGCCTCAGGACCCTGTGATACTGGAGAGTTTCTTGTCCCATGTGACAGGACAGGACAGCCCACCCGACCTACCCCTCTTCTGAGAGCAGAGGTGAGGGCTCTCTGGACTACCCCATCATTCTTGTCGGGGCCGTGCTCAGGAGTCCATCCTTCTAATGCACATCAGAACCTAAGACTGGCCGGCCGTCACCTCAGAACAATCACGGGTCCCGCTGTGGCTCTCACAGTCTGTCTGCCCCTGGTTTCTCCCAGGCCTTACCTCCTCTCACTCTTCCACCTGGAATATCCCTCTGGGTGATTCCGCCCTTGTTCCCCTCCCCCCAGATGTCACCCTTCCCAAGACTCCAGTCTCCATCTCTACCTGGCCTGATTTGAGACACGTTCCTGTCTCTCGAGTAGGGTCCACTATGTTCGCTTGCCTAGACCGCAGGTTCCCCTGTAGTCCCTCGGAATAGGCCCGGTCCCAGCGGGTCCCTAGCACAGAAAAGTGTGCCCAGAGGCAGGTGACAGAGGAGGCGCAGCCATTTGTTGGTGATGGCTAGCCTTCCCCGCTCCAGATGGTCCTCTGACTCCACTGTTCTCATTACAGACAGGTGGACACCAACGCAAAAAATGTCTTTGGTCAGCCACGGTTGAGGGCGTCCCTTCGAGACCTCCGGTCCCCACGGAAGAACTACAAGTCTACCATCGAAGACGACCTGAAGAAGCTCATTCTCATGGACAGCCTGGGGCCAGAGCAGGATCGGGACCCAGGGGTGCGTGGCTGCTAGAGCGTGAGAGGGGCTGGTGCGCTCGCCGTGTGCCCAGCCTTCGGTGTCTGCTGGTCTCTGCAGTGTGCAAGTGGGGAGCCTGTTGTTAATTAGGGCCAGAACCAGCGCTGAGCCAGCTAGGGAAGGCCCCAGAGACCCTGGGTCTTCTCATGACTTTCTCCCAGAGCCCAAGAGGGGAATGGTCGTAGCCAGCTGCTCGGAGCACAGCATCCAGAAGCAGGGTGGGTGCCCGGGAGCATCTTGGGCTCTCATTCCCCAGAGACAGTGAGACCAAAGCAGCAAGCACTGTGGTGCCTCCACTGCCCCTGCCTAGCCCCCACTGTCAGGCAGGCAGTCTGTGGGAACCAGGACAGCTCTTCGCTGGGCACCATGGCACACGCCTGTAGGCCCAGCTCTCAGGAGACTGAGGCAGGAGGATCACATGTTTCAGGCCAGCCTGGGCTACGTGGCTAGCTGCGACCATGATGGAAGTCAGTGATGAAGCTCTTGTATAAGGCTCCAGTTGGAGGCCGGGATCAGAAGCCATGGCCCCAAGGCAGGGGTAGGGGGCCCTTGGGGAAGTCTCATGGTTTGACCAGTCAGCTTATAGAAATGGACGTTGGGTGGGTGAGAACTTGCCAAGAAGCCGCTGAGGACGGGGACCAGAAGCCCAGTGTGCCAATCCCTTGCCCCACCCTGTCTTGGCAGCAGTCCCCCCAGAAGAGCCTGCAGCGGACGCTATCGGACGAGAGCCTGTGCAGCGGGCGCAGGGAGCCCAGCTTTGCCAGCCCTGCCAGCCTGGAGCCCGGGCTGCCCAGCGACGTGCTCTTCACCAGCACCTGCACCTTCCCCTCCAGCACCCTGCCCGCCCGCCGCCAGCACCAGCACCCGCACCCGCCCAGCGGGGCGCCCGGCACCATGGCAGCCGCCGGCAATGGCTTCCCAGAGAAGAAATGTGAGCATGAGCACACCAGGGCTGGGAGTGGGGCACCGCAGGTGGGGCACCTGGTCCTGTGAGGGAGGGAACGGCGCACACGGGCTCCAAGGGACCTCAGATACTGCTGGCCAAACACAGGGTCACCCGAGACCAGAGGAAGTCAGACTCCTCAAGGACACATGCTCACGCCCTCAGCTCCCCAGTGACTGCCCCAACAGCCGCCCTGATCACACCAGCCTCCCCACTCACACCAGCCTTACAGACAGAACACCAGGGATACTGGATATTTGCTGCAAGAACAAATTTGGAGGTTACCCCAAGCCTTTGATTAGCCATATTGCTGTGGGGACGGCCAGGTAGCCTGTCTATACATCCAGGGTAGCCTGCACACCTCCTCAGGAGGGACCATGACACTTGAGGTGAAAGAACGGAGTCTCGTGACTACAAGGCTCATTTCTCATTGTCGCTCCTCCGCCCTCTCTCAGCCACCCCGGGCCTTCTCGGTGTTCCTTAAGCCTCGGGGACTTGATGCCAGCTTGATGCAAGCACAGGCTTGCTCTCTCCCAGGTCTCCCATTGCTCTGAGGTCACCTCAGCCTCCCTGGTGCCATACAGACATGCTGCCCACACAGATACTTGGCATCATGGCGCCCTCGCTGCGCTGGAGCCTGATGCATACCTGAGTGGGTCCCACCTACACTCTGAGCCACCTCCCTGTCTCCACTTTCTCACACAGCCGCCATCTCGTCCTCGGAGCTCTCGCTGGCTGACGGACGGGACCGGCCCCTGCGGCGGCTGGACCCTGGAATGATGCCGCTGCCGGACACAGCCGCCGGCCTGGAGTGGTCCAGCCTAGTGAATGCTGCCAAGGCCTATGAAGGTGGGTAGCCTCCGCCCACCCTCAGTGGGGTGCCTATTCTGAGAGGAGGATGGGAGGGCTTGTGGCTCTGCTGGACCTCCCACATGGGTGCCAGAGCCATGGAGAGCAAAGCTAAAGCCTCGCGTTGTCATTTGCTGACCATGCAACCCAAAAGCGTTGACCTCTTCTGATGCCCTGCTGCTGGCCCGCGGAGGAAGGTCCCTCACCGGTGGCCCGGGTTACATAAGGGCTGTTTCAAACACTCCGTGCAAGAAACGGGGCCAGAGCAAGCGCTCCACAAACAGTGCTCAAAGAAACCCCAAAACAACCCAGGCGTGTAGGCCGGTCTACATAGCAAGTTCCAGGACAGCCAGGGCTGGTACAGAGACCCTGTCAATTAATTAAGCCAGTCAGTCAGTCCTGGTTGAACAAACTCCATGTGATGCTTTTAAATTCAGCAGCTTGAGTAGGGCGCGTAGTCCTTCCAGCCCGCTGCCGTTTGCCCAACGTCTGTCAGAGATGACTGTAAGAGCCCGAGCCATCATATCCCGCCTCCGCAGCTGTAGCTTTCCTCAGGGCAGCCTTCCCCTCCTGGGCACTTCCTTCCTGCTCTCAGCCCGTAGCTGGACCCTTCTCACACTGGCCATTTGGGAGCACAGTGGTAGAGTGTGTGTAAGACTCTGGGTGGGGTTTTGGTTGGTTGGTTTGGGTTTGGTTTTTTTGTTGTTGTTTTGTTTTCGTGGAGTTTTTGATCATTTGAGTTTGGAGTGTTTTGGGTTTTGTTTTTTGTTGGGTTTTTTTTTTTGGTTTTTGGTTGTTCTTTTTAAATATTTTTTATTATTTACATGTACATGCATGTATATGTGCATTTTGCCAAAGGTTACCGCATCCATGGAGCAAAGGTTGTAAGCTGCCCGATGTAGTGGCTGGAAATTGAACTCAGGTCCTCTTCTTAACCACTGAGCCATCTCTCTAGCTCCTTTTGGTTTTTCCAGACAGGGTTTCTCTGTGTAGCCCTGACTGTCCTGGAACTCACTCTGTAGACCAGGCTGGCCTTGAACTTGGAAATCCACCTGCCTCTGCCTTCCGAGTGCTGGGATTAAAGGTGTGCACCACCACCTCCTAGTCATAAGACACTGGGTTTGATCCCCAGTGCTGAATGAACAGTTGAATGAATGGATCTGTCTGTCTGTCTGTTTTAGAGAGATCTCATGTAGCCCAGATTAGTCTCAAGCTCACCATGTAGCTCAGGCTAGCCTTGAACTCCTTCCTGTAGTCATCCACTAAGTACTAGGATTATAGGTGTGTGCCACTGTGCCCAGCTCAGAATTGCCCAGACCGGCCTCAGACTTGCTGTCCCTCTGCCTCGGCCTCTCCAGTGCTGGACTCTCAGGGAGGCGGCACCACCAGTGACAGCCCAGCCGCTTTAAGCTCTTTGCAGTTCGGAAACGCCTGGCCTCTCAGCTCAGCCTGGGTTACCATCACCACATGGTGCTCTCCAAACTCACCTCCATCCAAAGGACTGTGGTAGGAAAGCAAGAGTGGTTTTAATTAAAATGGGGTTTCTGTGGTTGTGTGGACCATGTGCTTTGCCACTTAGCAGTAGCCACAAGGGCACCAGATTTACCTGACATCCCACTACCTGACAGTGTTAGGATAAGCATTTCTTAGATTCCTGACTTCGAGAGGGAGAGCAAGCAGTGGGGACAGGACCAGATCTAAAAAATAGGAGCTCAGCTGGCTGGCTCCCAGCAGAGGAAGTACCAAATGGGTTGACAAGGAAACCAGAGCCTGCTGCCTACATGTGATCTCCAGCTTTGCCTGGGAGGAAGCTTTGTGACAAGCCATTAACCCCTCATGCCTCAGTTGCTCATCTGTAAAAATCTCAGTCTGCCACTCAAGTTGTGAGTATTAGATGAACTTGTTATGGTGCTTAAGAACCACTACAGTGCAGAGATGAGCAGCAGTAGAGCCCCTGCCTAGAATCCCCCAGTGAGGGGCTGGGATGTGGCTCAGTGGTGGAGCCCTACCCAGAATCCCCCAGTGAGGGGCTGAGGTGTGGCTCAGTGGTAGAGCCCCTGCCTAGAGTCCCCCAGTGAGGGGCTGGGGTGTGGCTCAGTGGTAGAGCCCCTGCCTAGACTCCCCCAGTGAGGGGCTGGGGTGTGGCTCAGTGGTAGAGCCCCTGCCTAGCATAGATATGATATAGTCATGCTATAGTATGAGCCTTATTAGTTCTTGTGAGTTTCTGAACAATTTTGGATACTCAGCTGCTAAGAGCCAGGAAAAGCACAGGAGTCTCTGCCTGCACTGCATAGCAAGATCCTGTTTAAAATCTTCAGATTCTGGCCTGGAGAAATGGCTTACTGATTAAGAAAACCTGCTTCTCTTCCAGAGGACCTGAATTTGGTTCCCAGGCCCCCACTGGGCGGCCTACAACCACATGTAACTCTGCCTCCAGAATCTGATATTCTCCTCTGGCTTCCCAGGCACCCACACGTGTGGCGTACACTCACACAGACAAATATACGCATATAAATGTAAATTAAAAAGAAAAGGGAAAGGAGCCAGGTGGTGGTGGTGCATGGCTTTAATCCAGCCCTTGGGAGGCAGAGGCAGGCGGATCTTTGAGTTCTAGTACAGCCTGATCTACAGAGAGAGTTCCAGGACAGCCAGAGCTAATAGAGAAACCCTGTCTCAAAAAGAAAAGCTGGACAGTGGTGGTGCACACCCTTAATCCTAGCCCTTGGGAGTGGGGGCACAGAGGCAGGCTGATCTTTGTGAGTTCGAGGCCACCCTGGTCTACAGAGGGATTTTCAGGACAGTCAGAGCTGTTACACAGAAGAACCTTGTCTCAATAAAACCAAGGGAAAAAAAGAAAAAGACAAACGGAGCTAGAAAAAAAAGAGAGAGTAAAAAAGAAGAGAAAAAGGAAGACAGCCAGGTGTGGTGGTTCATATCTAATTACAGCAGTAAAAAGGATGAGACAAGCCAGGTATGGTGGTGCATATCTTCAATCCCAGCCTGGTCTACAAAGTGAGTCCAGGGCAGCCAAGGCTATACAGAGAAACCCTGTATGCCTTAAAAAAAAAAAAAAAAAAAGGTGGCTCATGTCTATAATCTAAGCACCCAACAGGCTGAGACAGGAGAGTAACTGTGAGTTCAAGGCAGCAAAATGAGACCTGACTCAGAGGGATCAGTAGGAAGGGACAGACAGAGCTAGAGATTGGCATGAAGAGATGTGGGGAGGAAGCCAGGGCCTGCCGGGCCTCCCCCAGAAGACGTTAATCCCCTTTGTTTTCTCTTGGGCAGTGCAAAGAGCCGTGTCACTCTTCTCTCTAAATGACCCAGCCCTGAGCCCCGACATCCCTCCTGCACACAGTCCTGTGCACAGCCACCTAAGCCTGGAACGGGGCCCACAGACTCCTAGAACCACCCCTACCATGAGGTAAGTTTCCCTGGAAACATGGGGTCCACCACCTCAGAGCTCGGCAGTGCCTGTGCACAAGACGCTGCAAGCCGCCCTATTGCTCCAGGGCAGGCGGCCCCTCACCTGATAGCCAGAGCTGTGCCCTGGGGCCAGCAGTGGCCAGGCAGCTTTGTCCCTACCCTCACCAATGGCCCAGGACATGGAGTCAACAGACCCTCGTACTTCCAGCTCTGAGCCGTACCCCACATTTTACACTCTCTATGCTGCTGGAGGGAGGACAAGGAGACAGGGGCCACTTTGTCATCTCAGCCCCAGCTGCTCCTCTGAGGTGCACTGTGAGTGCTCATACCCAGCAGAAAGCGGAGGCCGGGCAGAGAGAGCTCTGCCTGAGCTGAGGAGCAGAGGAGAGCCAGGAGGACCCAGTAGCCTCACCTGCGCCCCTCCCCACACCCTCCAAGTCTAAGAGCCCGAAGCGGCTCTTCAGGGGAAAGGGCTGACCACACGGAGTGAGCGAGATGCGCACACACACACCTTCTCAGGGGCAGACGCATATATCAGGACAGCACCCCACCTAGCTCGGGCCTAGCCAGTGCTTCCTCAGCCTGCAGGTAGGCTGCTTCCAGGGGCGAGAAGGGAGCTGCTCATCCATGCCTTACACCCCTGGACTTTCTGGTGAGGACTCACCAGAGACCAGTGGGCCCGCACCCCAAGTCTTTCCCAGCTGTGAGTAAGAACCCTCCCCCGGGGAGGTGGCAGGCCTCAGGATTGACCCCACCCCCTTGCCTCTCCAGCGAGGAGCCACCCCTGGACCTGACAGGCAAGGTGTACCAGCTGGAGGTGATGCTGAAGCAGCTTCACACAGACCTGCAAAAGGTGAGGCCGACAGGGTGCCGCCAGCCTCACGCCTGGCACGCCCAAGGCTCGAGGTTCCTAGCATCGCCTGAGCCGGGCTTGCTGCCACATGTGATCCCAGCACTCGGGTCACGGGGGCAGGAGAATGGAAGGCCAGGGTCATCCTCCGCTGCAGATTGAATTTGCAGTGAGCCTGAGGTCCACGAGCCCGGGTCTGTAAGTAATTATAAATGAGAGGCAGATGCTGGCCATCGGGGGACAGCGATACCGCAGGACACTCAGGCAAGCAGAAGTCTGCGGCCGATGAGAGTGAGCATTTTAGTCCAGCCTCATGACATCCATATAATAAGCCAGGCACCTCACAGGCGAGTAACCCGAGCTCTGAGTGGCGCAGAGACGGGGGGGGCTCACAGGGGCTTACTGGCTTCCAGCCTGTCCAAGAAAACCGTAGCCACAGGCTCAGAGAGACCCTGCCTCAAAGGAATAGGTGGAGATTGGTAGAGAGGGCACCTGGCAGCCTCTCAGACACACCCACCTCTCCACACCTGCACACACACGCATAAATAAGGACGTTGAATTGGATATATAGCAGCTTTACCCACTGACTAGCGGGCAAGACAAAGTCAGTAAAAGCTGGCCTTGATCCCCCTGCCTCAGCCTCCCCACTGCTGGGAGGCAGATCTCTGTGAGCTTGAGGCCAGCCTGGCCTAAAGAGCAAGTTCCAGGATAGCCAGGGCTACACAGAGAAACCCCGTCTCGAAAAACCAAAAAAAATAAATAAAATTAAAAATTAAAAATATATATAGCCCTGCGTGGAAGGGCGTGTACTAAGCGACCGTAGGCAGCATTCCCGCTGTGTCTGCTGCTCGTCTCAGGGTGTAGAGGGCTGAGGAGACTCGGATTGCGGGAGGCTTGGCTTGTTGATAGATTTGGGGTGATGCAAGGCAGGAAATGGAGCTCCAGCAGTAAGCCCTCAGGACAGAGGTCGGGGACCCAAGTTCAGGCCTCCCAGGACTTAGTGATGTGCGGCCTCGGCTTCCCCTGCCTTAGGATGTCATGGCACCTCGGAAGAGCAGAGCCTGCTCAGGCAGCCCTGCCGAGGCCACATCTGCCTTTTCCCTCCGGGGTTGGGTGGCTCTGGCTCTGGCGTGGGCTGAAGCAGTAACAGTGATAAGGGCTGTCAAAGACCGGGAGTGGGGGCACACGCCTTTGGTCCCCGAACTAGGGAGGCTGAGGTCAGCCTGAGCTCCGTACCAACCCATGTCGAAAAGGGAAGAAGAAAGAATAAACATCTCTCAGGCTTTCCGAACCATCTGTCAGAGTTAAGGGCGTGAAGTAAGTTCCCAGGGTGGTCGGCTCGTCCAGAGAAGCAGAGCTGCGATTTGAACCCTTGCAGCCGGGCCTCTCAGGCCCCAGGAGCTGTGGTCTGCTCCTGCTCTGTGCATCACCAGGAAGCCCCTGGCACTGTACCTGACCCAGCCCTTTCGCCCTCCCAGGAGAAGCAGGACAAGGTGGTGCTGCAGTCCGAGGTGGCCAGCCTTCGGCAGAACAACCAGCGCCTGCAGGAGGAGTCGCAGGCTGCCAGCGAGCAGCTTCGCAAGTTTGCCGAGCTCTTCAGCAGGGAGAAGAAGGAGCTCTGAGGCCCCCTGGGCTGGCCTGGGCTAGCCTAGGCCTCCGGAGCTGGCACCCTGGGCTAGCCTGGCCTCCTGAGCTGGCACCCTGGGCTAGCCTGGGCCTCCCGAGCTGGCAGGCAGTGGGCCTCTGGTCGCAGGGGTGAAGGTCATCCAGCCACAGCCCCGCACCCACTGCCCCGCAACCTTCCCAAGGGACTTGGGAATTCCAGGCCCTGGGAGCTGGCCTGGCCCCCACCTCAGGCCCCTCTCAGCCGCTCCCTGCTGGCCCTGCAGGAACCTGTTCCTAGGACCCAGCTGCCTGGCTGTGATGGTGGGAGGGCCCAGGAGCCCTGCATGAGAACTCTGGAATGAAACGAGCCCTTTCTCCCCACCTCCTGAGGGTCTGGGCTCCTCTGTCCTCAGCGTGCTGGCTCCAGGCAGCGTGGATAGAGCCCTCCAGTCTCCCCCTCCATACAGCAGCCAGGAGCACTTTCATAGAGTTTAAATTATTTTCCTGGGGCCCCAGAGTGGGCAGGAACCGCTGGCATCCAGACCCACTCCTTGGAGAAACCCTGTTTGTACAGTTAGGACTGTTTATACGATCTTTTCTAGCAGCTCTTCTCCAGCAGCCACGGGCCCTCTGCCTTCCAGCTCTGACCCGGCCAGCCCTGGGGCTCCTCCCCAGCGCGGCTAGGCCACTGCCTGCCGCTCCAGAGGCTGCGCGAGCAGGGACAGGGCCGAGGCTACAGCCTCCTCCTGTCTGGTCCTCCTTTCTTTTGCAAGTCTCCCTGGTCACACTCCAGCCCTCGGCGGCCAGACACACTCACTGTGCTCCCCCGAGTGTTCACAGTGCAGCCCCCAGGCGCTGACTCTCCAAAGGCAATAAGGGGCAGCTCAGTGTGGACCCATGCTGCTCACCCAGGAAACACAGCCCCCCCCCTTTGAAAACAAACAGAAAAGAATATATATATATATATATTTATTTTTTCATGTAGAGTTGTGCTGGAACAAGTTTAAACGACCACAGTCTATGGATTCCCCAACCGCAGGGTCAAGACATATCCCCATGGGCTGGGGGTCAGTGTGGGGACCCAGAGGGTTATGGGGCACAGGCAGGGAGCAGTTGGCAGCATGGATTGGGCGCAGAGTCGTGGCTAGGTGGCCCAGCCCTCAGCCCTGGACCCATCACCACCCCTGTGGGCCCGAGACCTCTTTGGAAGGGCTCTGAGACTGCACCCAACAGGCCCTGCTCGCCAGGCCCAGGGCGGGGCCTGAGGAAATGTACCCACAGCTCCCTGTGACCCGCCTCTGGCCCTGGGGAACTCCGGGTCGCCAGGGAACGGCCTGTTTCCTCCCACCGTGGAATGATAGTGGCAGACCAGGCCACCCAGTGTCCTCCGCCCTGGCCAACTACTGTGATGTCCCTTTCCTGATCCCTTTTCTGAAGGGTTCTCAAGCCCCTGCCCCTCCCTCTTCTTTTAGACCCGACCTGGAGCCTGCCCCTCCCCCTTCCTTCCCTCCTTTCATTTCTTTCTTTAATGTGTCTCCTAGTATCTTTGGATCATTCAAATCACTTTGGGGACCTAATCATGTACATTGACAATTGTAAATTATAATTTTTGGTTTTGTTCTATTATTTTTGTAAGAATTTCTGCAAAAATCTATTTAATTTGAGGTTGATGTTCTGTCTGATGGCTGGAGATAGCAGCAGGCTTTTTTTTTTCCCCATGTTGATTTGTTCCATTTGGATTTTTTATCATTCTTTATTGGTTTTTTTTCCTCCCCTTCTTCCCATCCCTGTCTTGAGATTTCTGGCATGTTTCAGGAGGTTTCAAAGGAAATAAACATTTCATAGAGATGGCTGGTGTGCTCTCAGGCAGCCGCCTGGAAGTCCGCGCCGACTCCTTCCTCCTGAGCTCCTGTCACAGCCCTGCCACACCGCACACACGCCAGCCTTGCAGCCTTTCCTCAGCACACAGACCACAGAAATCTCGCCCCCGGGGGGTACGATGTGCCGAAGTTAAAAAGTTAGATCTACAAGGTGGGCTTGGTAACACAGCCTTTAACCCCAGCACTCAGGAGGCAAGGTGGGTGATCTCAGCCTTCTGGGCCAGCTTCGGCCGGGGGTGCAGCCTGAGACCCCACTTAAAAAGGGGGGTCTGCTTTTGCCAGGCATACTGATCTCTGCACCCTGAGTCTGGGCAGGAGGATCGCTGAGGGCTCAAGGCCCGGGTGACAGCAGAGCTGCCTCAAAAAAAAAAAAAAAAAAAAAAAAGACCGTTTGGTTGATGCACATCTGTAATCTCAGCCTCAGGAGGTGAAGGGCGTCAGGAGTTCACGGCCATCTCCGCTCCAGAGCAAGGTTGAGGCCAGCCTGTGCCATCCCCAAGAAAATGATTAAAAAGCCCTTAAAAAAAAAAAAATTCGGGCTAGAGGTGGCCCCGTGGTTAGGAGCACTGGTTGCCCTTCCAGAGGATTCCCAGGTCGATGCCCAACACAAGGCCGCTGACCGCTGACTCCAGACCCAGGGGACCCAATGCCCTCTTCTGGTATGTTTTAAGTTTTTAAAAAAGCCTGGCAGAGCAAGGTCGCCCACACCTCTAATCCCAGCAGAGGCAGGCGGATCCTGCTCTACACAGTTCCAGGGCAGCCCGCGCTCGCCACCAGGCCAGGCCCCGCCCATTGCCTGCCCTGGGGAAGGAGATCACCGGGCGGGAGGGTGCCAGTGAGATCTGCTTCCCTCTCTTCCACACCGGAGTGTCTCAGCTCCGCCGGGTTCTCCCTGGCCCTCCCGGCAGCAGGGAGGAGGTCAGGGCAGCTTGAAATCTGGAGCCCTGGGGCTGCCTCCGGCCGACCCGTGGCATCTGCGGGTGGGCGGGGCACGAGGCAAACTGCCTTCGGACTCAGGAATTCCACAGGAAGATCCCAAGGACCCCCCCCTCCCCGTGGGTAGCGCGCCCCTGTGGACAGGACACCCCCAACCCGCCCCAACTGTCCGTAGGATCTTCTGAGCTCAACTCTGACCCTCCTCTGCTCCCTACCATCACTCCTGCCCCCCCCCCCCAACAAAAAATCCTCCCGAAAAACTTTCCCCCCTCTCCCCTGGAGAATCAGCCGCTCGCGCAGCCTCCCTCGCTCTCCGCCCTCGGAGGGGCCCCATCCAGCCCAGCCCTCCCCCCCACCAACCCGGGCCAAGGGGGGAGGGAACCTGGGAACAAACTGTTCTCACATCCTCTCCTGGCCCGGGAGACACCACCACCTCCCAACACCCCACAACTCACACGCGCACCCGCACACGCACGCCAAGCTGATGGCGCCTGCACCAACCCTGTCCTCCCTTCTCCTCCTTGCCCCAGTTTTTCCTGCCTCCTTCCCTCCCCCGTCTCCGCTCAGCTTGCCACTCTATCTCTTTGGCCTCATCTGGCTGGCACTCGGCAGATTTCTGTTGTCCACCTCCCTTCCCTTTTGAGAGAAGGTTCACCATGTAGCTCAGGATGACCTGTAAGTGGCCATCCTCCTGCCTCAGCCTCCAGTGTTGGGATTCTGAGCCATGTGATGTGTTCACCATCCTGGATGGTGTTCCCTTAAATTCCTTATTGCCTTCCAGCCAAAAGCCATCTACCTCCTCATCCCTGTGTCTTTTGTCTAGGGGCTTTGTCTGTCCCCTTATTCCGTTTTCTCCCTCCTGACTTTGTACATTTTCTGCTTCTCTCTCTCCAAACCACTCTCCACTTCTTCCCCAGGTCTAGCCAGAGTCTGGCTTTTGCTTTAAAACAAAACAAAACAAAAAACAACTATTATTTCCTGGACTTGTCCTCCACCCCCCGTCCCTGTCCCCTTCCCTCGGAATTCCTGGGGCTGTCTACATATGTGTGTCTCCCCGGCTTTGTCCTTTTTTCATTCAGTAAATTGGTGACCTCAGAATCCTGCTCCTTCCTGATCAGCGCCCTGGTTCTCCGCTCTCGCCACCCCCACCCCACCCTGTCTGTCTCCTTGAATCCCTGTATTTTGAGATGCCCTTCTCCACTTTTAGCCACACCCAGGACAGGGAATCCCAGGTGACAGCCATGCTCGGGCACCATCTCCCCACCCTCGGCTGGGAGGGGGTTGCCTCCCGGTCTCTCCAACCCTCCCTTCCCCCCAGCCCCCACTCCCACCTCCCTCTTTGAGCTGCCTCCCGCCGCAGCTGCAGCAGCCCGTTGCTAGGGCAACCACAGCTGGCTGGGTGGGAGCCCCTCCACCCCATCCCCCTCTCCTCTCCAGCAAGACAGGGAGGAGCTGGGACAAAGCCAGAGGGAGGCATGGTGTAAGGGGCAAGGAGATGGGGAGTGGCCGCTCTGGTTTCTACCCCAGTGAGGCCCCTGGCTTTCCATCTTGGTGACACCCTAAAGAGGCTAGAGAAGGAGGCAGTCGTAGGCAGAGGGGTCAGGCCCATTTTAATACACAGAACAAGTTAATTCACAGCAGAGGCAGGCAATAAAGGAGACTTGGTGGCAAGGGGGGGCACTCCTGGACTGGGGGCAGACTCCCCCAGACCCTCCACCTCCCCCACCTGCAGTCTCAATTTCCCCTTTTTAAAACCCGAACAACAAACACACACAACCACGAGAAACAACCACGCCCCCTCGCCACCCCCAAAATGGCTAGCGAGGGGGCCAGGAGGCAGCCCGGCCTGGCCGGGTAGAGAAGGGGATGGGAAGGGAGGAAAGAAATGAGTCCATTGCGATCTGTGCTTCTCGATGCAGCGGGCTGGCTGGCTGCCTCTCCCCATGGCCTCCCCGGCTGCACGCCCCAGGCCTGGCAGGCACCGGGTGGGCGCAGGGTGGGGCTGGCAAGGAGGGGCAGGAAGAGTTCAAAACCATAGTTCACATCATGCAGTATCCACGGCGGGTACTGGGAGGGGGCAAGGGGTGGGCGCTGGGCCCGCCTGGCCTGGGTGTGAGGAAGGAATGGCATCCACCTCAGATGGGGAGTTGAGCAACTGCAACTCCAGAAATGGAGTGGGGAGGCGCCATTCCGGAAGCTGGTAAAGTCCGGTCCCCAGCAGGCAACGTAGTGCCCTCCACCCAGCCAGGCTTTATAGGACTCTTTGTATATATTAATTTCTTTTTTTTTTTTTCTTTCACTTTTTTGTCTTTTTCTTTAGAAAAAGGCTCTTTCTGTGGCCCTGGCTGGCATCCACTACCCCTCTATGCCCGCCCAGAGGCGGGGTATGGCTTTGAGGGGAGCAGAAGCCCCTGGTGCCCATTTATCAAGGGATGAAGAGGGGGACAGGCGGGCCCCTGCTGGACCCAACCACCCTCCCACAGGGTAACATTCCACCTGCCAAGGGAGAACACCTTGGCCATCCCTCCCACTGGGGACACTGAGCCACTGGGCGGGAAGAGCCGAGAGCTCCGAGAGGCAGAAGTTAGCACCACCCAAAGGTCCTGGGGAAGCGGAGCCAGGCCTAGGTCAGGGTGATGTAAGCAGAGGCCTTTTCTTTCAAGTGCCGGAGACAGAGGTGGCAGCTCCAGCTCCCTGCGGGGGAAGCCACAGACGAAATTAGACTGGAGCCGAAGGAGAGCGGGCCCCCGCCTGTCCCCGCCCGTGCCCCGCCCACCTCCTCCCTCACCTTCCGGGGGCTCCGCCATGGGAGGGCTCAGACAGTACATGTGGTATCCCCGGTCGCAGTCATCACAGAACAGCAGCTGGTCCTGGGGGGTGAGACCCGCCCAGCTGGCACCCTGGGGGCGTGGGCACCAGAAACGGGGTGGGGGGCTGGGGCGGGGGCTGGGTCCCGGGGGCCCCTTCCGAGAGAGCTGGCCCTGCAGCCTGCACTGAGGAGTCTACCAGCCCTGCCTGTCCATTCACAGAGCTCTGCCTGGATTTTGTAACTATAGAGTACTGGATGGCGTTCGGCTGGCCAGGTACCAGCTCAGCAGCCAGGGATACAGGTTCAAATCCCGGCCCTACGGTTTCCTCAGCTTGGTGACCTCGGGCATTATTCTGCCTCTCTGAGCTCAGAACCTTCTGTGTGTGGTGGGGTCAAGAGCACCAGCCTCGAGGGAGGTTGGGAGGCGTCGGGGGGAGAGGAGAATCTGAGGGGACAGGTTCCAATCTAGGGACACTACTGACAGCAGTAATGCGTGCCGCGACTGGCCACCCGGGGGCTGTGAGCAAGAAGGCGTTAGGCTTCACGGGCGAGAGCAGCAGAGCCAGGCTGGAGGGGCAGCGGGGTGTGCCCGGGAGGTGGGGCGGGCACTCACGTCATTCTCCGAGGTGCCGCACAGGCTGCAGGATTTGCACTCGATACACTGCCAGCGGTAGGTACGCACGGCCGCCGTCATGTTCGCCGTGAACTGTAAACACGAGGGGTGTCCTGGGGGCCGAGGGGCAGGGGCACAGTTAGAGTCATTGTGCCCTGGTGGCAGCTCACCCCCCCCCCCACGGGAAGTCACGGCTCTGTCCCCAGCCCCAAGGCGAGCTCTGAGGAGGGACCCTACCCCCGAGACGGACGCCCGGAAGCCGGCTGCCTGCCGGCCAGCTGTGTTGGCCACCAAGGTCTCCTCCTCGGCCACCATGACAACCCACACTCTGCTGCCCGGAATACCATGGCAACCGCATTCCATTACCCACAGTGCTGTGGCAACCACGTTTCTACCGCCCACAACACGGTGGCGACCACAGCCTGTTAAGCACCGCGCTGGGCGGCCACATTCCAGTACCCACAGCCCAGCGGCCGGGCCTCCTGTTAGCCACAGCAACGTGGCGGCCGCCGCCCTCTCCCGGCCAGGCCCTCTCCCGGCCAGGCCCTCTCCTGGCCAGGCTACCATAGCAACCTTGGCCACAGGGTCCCACACCTTGCTTCCCTGGGACCAAAGGCCACCCCACATGAGGCACCAGCAAACCGACTGGCCATGGCTGGCAGCGTCAGCCTCCGAGGTCTTTCTCCCACAGCACGAAGCCACCTGTCGCTGCTGTGCGAGGCAGAGCCCGACAGCCGCCACCCCCAACGAGCAACAACCGATGGCTACAACTGCTTCCCTCAGAGCGAGACGCCAACAGCCCACACGGCCTGCCAGACAGCGGTAGCGCCTGTCACAGCGCCCAGTGGTCGGTGGTCGGTACCCGAGGCCGCTACTCCTGGCGGCTCACAGCCACCATCAACACCATCCCTGCCACATTCCGTTGCATTAAACTGCCAAGACAGCCCATGCTGTGACGACCACAACCCACTCCCCACGTGGCCGGAGCGACCTCCCATGGAAAACCACAGGTCTACGAGGCTCAAATCCCGTTATTCGGGGGACCCAGGCGGTGCCCTTCCTTACTCCCTTACCCACAATGCCCTTCCAGCCAGGAAAGCACAGCACCCTGGCACCCGCACACTCTCCTTACTGTGCCAGCTTCCCACAGTCCTCAGCAGCACAGGCGGCCCCCTAGGACAGGCTGGCTCCAGCCCTCACTCCCTTGCCTCCCACTCCCCAAGTCAGGACTGGGGTGTCCCCTCCCCCCGCCCCGTCCTCCAGAAACAGGTGGCAGAGAGTGTCACCTGATCGCCCGCAGTCTGCACAGGAGATGAGGTCCTCGGGACACCCAGTCTTCTTGGAGCCCCCCAGGCAAAAGTCACAGTAGCCGTTGGGGATGACTGTGCCGTCTGGTGCTTTCTTGGCTGAAAGACAGCAGCGGCAGCGGTGGGCGCGGGGCGAGGAGGGGCCCAGTCCAAGGCTGCTGGAGAAGCCGGGTGGGGGGGCTGTCCCTACCTGTGTGTTTCCTCTGTGCCTCGGGGACCCAGGCCAATTCTTTGTAAAACTCTGGGGGTGGGGGACAGAAAGGGGCTCTTACCATAGGCAAGGTCCCATCTGTCCCCAGCCTCAGCCCCAGGGTGGACCCTTGGCCCAGGCACTGGGAAGTAGGAAAAAGGCTGGGGGAGGGGCAAGGGATTCTCAGCAGAGCCTCAACTCTTGGGGTAACCGTGTGCTCTCTTTATCTGGGTAAAGCGTGGGAAATAGGTCTAACCTTAGCAAAAGCCCACGACTGTCCCCCGCATCGCGTGTTTGCACCCCCAAGTAAGCTTGCCCAGGCCAACAATTTAGCTGGCAGTTCTCCAAGGCCTGGCGTGGAAACCAGCGAGGAGGGCACTGAAGGCTCTGGGCCTGGCCTAAGGATGCTGAGAAGCTTCATGGGAGGGACATATGGGAGACAGCTCCCTTCCCCCACGGCTCGGCTGTCATGGCATGGGCGGGTGGGAGTGGGCGTCAGGACCCTGGAGGCCACCAACCTTGCCCCTGGCCCCTAGCATAGCAGAGAAGGGAACGAGCTTTAATTGAAACAATAAATCAGACCCAGAAATATTATGCCCGGGCAGGGAGTGAGGAAGAGAGAGAGAGAGAGAGAGAGAGAAAGAAAGAGAGAAATGGTTGGTTGTCATGGCAACCCCAGAGCCAGCATCCCTATGGTCGGTGGGGGAGGGAACCGTTAAGCTGGAGATTTTCCAGAAACGTCTAACTGTGCCCCTATCTCCCCTTCCCCAAGCACTGCCAGGCTCCACTGCCCCCACCCTACCCCTGGCACCTCACCCACCAGCCCTGACCCTCCAACTCACGTTTATGGTTGTTTTTCCGGTGGAAAGGCAGGGCGTGGCGCTCCGTGTGCTCCTCGCCCTCCTCCTCAGCCAGGTGGGTGTGGGTGTAATGGTAGCTGAGGCCCGGCCGGTTCTTATACCTCTTCCCGCAGACTAGGGGGTAGGTGAGTGGGTGGCCGTCAGACCCCAGGGCCACCTCCTCCACCCTGGCCTCCAGGATCACGCCACCTGCTCTGCCCTTGGGTCCCAGCCTCCCTCGCTCTCTCCCCTCTCAGGACTCACTATCACAGACGTACGGCTTGTCTCTGTCCTCCAGGGAGGCGGTGTCCTGGCGTTTTCTGAGCCCTCCGATGCCATATGCCTGTGGGGAGGAGGGGGAGGAGTGAGGAGCCCAGGGAAGCAGGAAGAAGGCCCCTCGTTATTGGGGGTTTTGAGTTTGTTTTTCTGTCGTCGTCGGTGTGGTTCGAGACAGGGTCTCGCTACGTAGCCCTGGCTGGCCTGGAACTCACTACGCAGAAGAGGCTGGCCTTAAACATGCAGTGATCCTCCTGCCTCTGCATTAGGGGGCTACCATGCCTGGGCTTCTCCATTTACACTTGAAAGTCAAACTGAAAAAAAAAAAATTAAAATTTTTCTTTTCAGTGCTGGGGGGGGTTCGGTTCAGTGACAGAGCAAGCGTGAGTAGGGGCGCTGGGGTCCGCCCCAGAGCCATACAGTAAGGAAATCTCCCCGTGAGACTGGGCGCGCTAGCTGTGAGCTTCTCTGGTTCACCTGTTGCTCCTGTCGCTGCTTTCAGACATGGTCCTTGCCCTAGACAGCTATATTGCTCAGGCTGGCCTTGAACTCCCAGAGATCCTCTTGCCGTGGCTTCTAGTGCTGGAATTAAAGGTGTGTCCTAACACCTCTTCATTGCCTTTATTGGCGGTTGCTTGTGCGTGCGTGCGTGTGTGTGTGTGCGTGCGTGCGTGTGTGTGTGTGTGTGTGTGTGTGTGTGCTCGTTGTTGCTGTCGCCTGGGTGGCTGGTTTGGTTTAGGATTTCTGTAATTTCTTTTCGCACAGGGTCTCTTTATGTAGTTGAGAATAGCCTGGAACTCACTTGTCTCAAGCTTGTAGCAATCCTCCTGCCTCAGCCTCCCAGGAGCTGGGATTCTAAGTGCGGACCGCCACGCCCAGCTCTGCACACACTTGTGATCCACAAGCTCCGGTTTTGAAAACGTTTATAATCCACTGGGTTTCGACAAAAATGGGTGTGAAAGCCTCCGCTCCTTCACAAAGCTCTGGGGAGGAGAGGTGGGGAGAAGCTCTGGAAGGTACCTTTCCTTTGGCCCTGTTCTTCCTCCTGGGAATGTCTTCCGCCAAGTCTTCTACCTCGAGGTCATGCGGAAACTCCAGCAACTGCTGTTTCTGGGCCCAGTAGAAGGGAGATTGGGGGGTCAAGAAGGGGGGGGACTGAGGTGCTGCAGGTGGGGTGGGAGAGCAAGTCAGGGAGCCTCTCCAGGCACAGGTGTTGTGGGAGAACGGAGACGCGGTACCCAGAGGCCCTGTGGAGCCAGGCATTCCGGAGCAGGAAGGCAGAGTGGCAGCCGGTGACAGGGCGAGAGCAGCCGGGGGGGAGGCTCCTACCTGACAGTCCACGATGCCGTCCTCCTCCTTCAGCTCCACCTTCTTCTCTCCAGTCTCGGCACACAGCAGAGCCTCCAGGACCGGCCCTTCTGGGAGGCCACCCTCCTTCTTCAGGGGTGCCTCGCAGTCTGGGGGCAGGCCAGGGAGAGCGGGGTCAGTCGCCGCTCAAAGCACCCGGGGGAGCCCGGGGGACGGGGGTGGACGGGGGGTGCGGTAGGAGAGCAGGGTCCTGTGGCAGGAGCAGGCGCTAACTACCATGCTCAGCCGACGGCAGACACAGAGATTCAAGCCTGGAGAGGGTGCCCGGACCCCGGGAAGACACAGCAACCCTCTCAGCTCTGCTCAGACAGGACCAGACCTGGAATACGCCGGAAACCCTCAGGAACAGTACAGACCCTCGTAAACACAGTGGGGTGCCAGCTAGACCCTCAGAGACACCCAAAGAAACCAGACATCTGGCCAGGTGACACACAGACACGCGATACGGCACGCGCAGATAGCCGGCCAGCCACACGGTGGACACAACCAGACCTTCAAACACTGCGGGGCCAGGGAACGGGTCCAGTTAAGGCCTGGGACACAGAGCCAGGCGGAAGGAGGTGGCCGGAACCTCAGGTAAGGCTCGATCCACGTTAGGGAGACAGCGGCAGGCCCTGTGACACGCCTGGCCGCTCACAGACGTCCCCCGGGAGACGCACCCAAGCGTGCCCACACAGGGAAACACAGTCTGACACACACAGGCAGACACAGCCAGCCAGCACTCGAGGAAGCCAGGGTCTGCCTTTCCCGACATTGGAGAGGTTCTAACCACAACAGACACAGCTAACGGAGAGATGAGCAGAAAGACTCCAGCCGGCCAACGCCTCAGCAGGATGCCGCCCAAACAGGTAGCTGCACACAGACACAATCGGACACACACCTGCTGGTACACACCTTCCTCGGAAACACCTCGACACAGGTGTTCCAACACACCTTCCAGACGCTGCGACCTAAGCTCCTCACGTTGGGGTGACCCCCCCAGCAACCGCCAAACTATTTCCTGACACTTCCTAAACGGAACTTTGCCACAGTCACGGATCGGAATGCTCTGTCACGTAGGGTCGTGACCCCCGGGGTTGTGGACCGCTGCTAACTCACACAAACACACGAAGAGACAGCCAGCCGCCTTCGGCACCCCCAGAAGGAAACCCGGCCAGCCAGGGGTGTACCCCAGCTCGCGGCGCGGCAGGTACAGTCAGACCCGATACCTCCGAACACAGGGGGCACCGTGTGCTCCGGACACCGCCTTGCCCTGACCCACAGCTGGAAGCCGAGCAAAACTCTTGAAAGTAACTCAAGCCGCCCTGGGGGCAGAGGGCCCGGGAGAGGTCGGGCGGGCGCCGGGGCGGGGCGGGGGCGGGGCCGCGGCTCCACCCACCGATCTTGTACTCGCAGGGCCGGAGTCTGGGGTCCTCCAGGATGTTGAGTCTCCGTTTCTTTCTCCAGCAGCGGGCGGGATACGTGTAGATCTGTCCCGGGGCCAGACCTAGGCGAGGAGGGGGAGGCGGTGAGCGCCAGGGCCCGGCCCCGCCCCGGCCCGCCCCGCCCGGCCCCGCGGCGGGTACCCGGGCCGCGGTGCGTCTTCTCCATCCAGATGTAGCAGTTGTTCTGGGCCACGCCGGTCTGCGAGTCGAGGAAGGGCAGGCGCAGGCTGCGCTCGGCGCACAGGCGCGCGTTGTAGCTGCGGCAGTGCTCGATGGCCTCGCGGTAGAAGTCCTCGCCGAGGCTGCGGGGGCGGGCGCCGTGAGCACGGGCGGGCGCGGGCGGCCCCGCACCCCCCACCCCCCGGCCGTGCGCCCCCGCCTCCCCCGTCCCCTCCCACCCTGCGGGCCCGGGGGCTGGCAGGGAGGCGGCCACCCAGAGCTGCAGGGTGCCGTCTCGGGGTGGAGAAGTGTTCGCGGACAGTGTGGCCCGGAGCCCACCGGCACCCGTCCGCACACGAGCGGAACCAAACACCCGACACAAACAAACAGCACATGGCCACACGGGAGGCACACAAAGGGAAGCCCAGCCCGCTATCCACAAAGGAGAAGCGGACCAGTTCTCTCCGTGTCACACACACGCACACGCACGCACACGCCTCCTGCAGAACACAAATCTTCCAAGTCAAAAGAGAGAGAGCGAGCGAGCGGGGAAGGACCCGTGCCCGCCACCTACCCAGAGACCACAGACGCACAGATGACCCACAAAGAGCCACAACGTGGGGACGCGCCGCGCACGCTCGTCCCGACAGTCACACAATGTCAGGAGACGGGGACTCGGGGAACACTCACGCAGGCGTCCACACAGCGCCCCACACACACAGCACAAAGAAACCACGGAGGTCCGCGCAGACGCCCGCGCGCACAGCCAGGCCGGGGCAAGAGCCCAGCGGTGAGACGCGCTCCCGAGCGCAGGTGGGCGCCTGGGGACGGCCGCGTGCGCCCACGTCCGCGCGGACAGGCGGACGCACCCCCTCGCCTCCCCGCCCGCGGGCTTCGCCCCCGGGAGCCGCACACGCAGAAGCCCGGATACTCACGCCGCTAGCGCAGAGTGAAAGGAACCGTGTACATACCCACACACTCAGCCAGAAGACAAAAAAGCAACGCACGGGCCGCACAGAACGCTCCACACCCCGAGACAAAGGTGGCGTGGACTCCACTCGGGGGCGCCCAGGCCCCGGGTCTCCCCAAGCCCTCTGCCCCCTCGCAAGCCCCGGGAGGGGGCACGAGCCCCTTCCCCCGCAAAGCCCGGGAGAGCCCCGCACACGCGCGTCCTCCGCCGGCCCGGGAGCGACGCGTCGGACCTCATTCCTGCCAGACACCCACAGTCACCTACACTCGCGCCCCCGCGCACGGTGACAGCCCCCTGACACCCCGGCAGCCCCACCCCCAGCGGCCACACACACACACACACACACATCCACGCGCGCGCGCGCGCTCCCCCGCCTAGCGCCCGCCCGCACCACCTCAGGGGGCCGGGGATGACCGTGGCCATCTTGCTCCCCGGGTCCTGCCCCCAGCAGGTCCCCGCCGGGTCGGTCCTCCCAGCGGTCGGGCGGGCGCTGGGGCCGCCCATCCATTCATTCCCGGGGGGCGGGAGCACGAGGCTCTCGGCCAATCCGGGCGGAGGGGCGGGCCGCGCGGGCCATGCCGGGAGTGGTAGTCCCTGGCGGCGGCGGCGGCCACCCGGGGCGGGGATGGAGGCTCGCGCGGCGGTCCACACACGCGCTCGCTCACGCGCACTCCCCAGGCCCACGTGCGCAGACGCATGCACGCACACACGCGCCCGTGGCGGCTCACACACGGTCGCGCTACGCTCGCAGGCTCCCGCGCGCGCCGCTCGCACCGCTCCCCGCGAGCCCAGCCCCGGGCGCGCGGGGCCGCCGACCGCCGAGCTCCGCCCCGGGCTCGGGTCCTCGCCGCCGGGACCCCGGGCGTGACCTGACCCTCCCGGGCCTGCTTCCTCCCTCCCAACAGCCGCGACCCCTCGGGGCGCCGACGGCCGCGGCGGCGACCGGGTAAGTAGCTGCTTGGGGGGCAGAGTCCCGCCGCTCGGCCCCCGCCGGCCTCCAGCACCCGCTCTCCTGCCTCCGCCTCCCCCGGGGGCTGGCGTTGAAGGTGTGGGACGCGGGAGGCCACGGCCGAGCGTTTTCCGAGGGGCACGGCCGGGCTTGGGGTCAGTTTTCGGCTACAGGACGTTTTTGAGAACCCGTGAAGAGACGGCACCTGGCGGGCGCTGATAAACACATCTCCTCCACAGGGAGGAGAGCTGCAGGAGGGCGCCGGCGGCCACCGAGGCGTGAGGCGCGGACGAGCGATCGGAAGGAATGACGCCGGCCTTGGGGGAGTTCACAGCCGTGTGCTGAGCGAACGCTTAACACCGCGCCCTCCAGGCCAGGCCCCTGCCCCCCTCGTTCCCCGGCGAGGCCCCTGGAGGCCGGCTACAGGAGGGTCCCTGCATCTGCCCCCCAGCCGCCGCCGCCAGAGTCCACCCGAGGAAGTCCCCAGAGAGTGAACCGACCCCTGTCGTGTCTCTCTCTGTCTCTGTCTCTGTCTCTCTCTCTCTCTCACACACACACACACACACACACACACACACACACACACACACACGCTCAGCCCCCCACCCTCTGGGGAATAACTTAGCATTCTGATGAGAGCGGCAGCATAAATTAGCATGTCAAGTGTTAATACAAACACGCCCCGGTCCAGCAGCAGGGGCCGGCCCCGGCACAGCAGGGTGTCTCTTGTACTTCCTGCCCAGGAATAACCCCCTCACTCGGTCTCATGTCCAGAACCCAGGCGTGCCCACCCTTCCTTGCCAGGAGATGCCCTCTCTCCGGGTCCAACGTCGGGCTCAGAGGGTCCTTGCCACCTCCCCTCACCTCTGCCACCCTCTGGACCCCTGCACACCCTCCTCAGCTCGCTCCACACCTCCGATTGGCCCTTCTCTCACACTACCGACCCAGCTCAGCTCTCAGCAGCGGGTCCTGGGCCCAGGCTGCCGCCAGGGAAGGGCCCAGCTCCCTTTTGTACCCCCACACTCCCCTCAGAACTTGGCCTCTCCCAGCTGCCAGGCCATGCGCCCGTCCCCGAGCCCAGCGCCCTGTGTTGTAAGATTTAACTCTGTGCAAAGTGCTCTACAAAGATGGCTTTTGGGTGAAGTCCCGTGGCTCACCTGTGTCAGCCAGCCTAGCATTCGGAGGGCTGAGAAGGCAAGGTTGCTGGAGGCAGCCTTTGCCTAGAGAGATTTTAAGACTGTATTAAAAAGGCCACAAGACTAAAACACTCCATGGTGGCACTTGTAACCCCAGCGCCTCAGAGGTCAACAGGAGGGTCAGGCGCTCCGGGCCAGCCTCCGGGGCTTGGTGAGTTCCAGGCCAGCTTGAGCCACTGAAGATCTTATCCATAACTAACCCCATAACTAACCGGGCCGCCGCCTCCAGGAGCCTCCCTGCTGCCCCCACGAGGTGAGGCGAACAGTTACGCTGCCCAACCCACACACGGCAACACTGAGGCCCAGAGCAGGAAACCACCGGCTTCAAGCCAAGCGAGCGAGAATCCAGGCAGAGAGAGCGGAAGCCGCTGCCAACGCGCTGGGCTTCCCAAGCCCTGGCTCCCGCCCTGGCTGGCCTGGAGCGCACTGTGTGGACCAGGCTGGCAGAGATCCTTCTGTGTCTGCGATTAAGGGCGTGAGCCACCGCGACCTGTGGCTCGGGCCTTCCCTAGTGCCCCCGCTCCCAGCGCAACAGACCCTCTGGAAGGTAGCCAAGGAGACCCGCGCCGTCCCCGCCTGCTGGACGGCCCTCTCCAGCCCTGCAGAGGGCACAGCGCTCACACGCCCTCCATCCCGTCCGCAGACCCGCCACCCCGGACTGGAACTCCAGTCCCCGCCGGTTTCAGGGCGCCCCTCGGAAAGGCAGACCTCTGTGCGCCGCGTGTGACTCAGAACGAGGGGGACGCGCGGTGTATCGCCACCACCCTCCCCTTCACCCTGACCCCAGGCACAAGACGGTCCCCCTTGCCGCGCCGTAAATCCGTGGCCCCCCAACTCTCACCACCCCCACGCCAGAAGCGCCTGGGGAGGGGTTATGGGCAAACAACGCTTCTGGAGGTGTGGATGGCGGGGGGCGGCGCACGCCCCCGTCACCCCAACCCTCCGGGCTCAAGGTCAAGGCCGTGAGCGCAGGGGGTGGGGAGGGGGAGGCAGCCCCGGCCCCTTTGTGCGGCGCCGCGGGCGCTCGCCCTCCGCCTCCTCTGCCGGCCGGGAGCGGGGGAGGGGAGCGCCACGCTCCTGCAGGGAGAGAGGGGCGGGAGCGGCCACGCTCCTGTCACTCCTAGCCGGCTGTCACCGCCGGGGAAGGGGGGTGGAGAGCGCCGGGACCCACGCGTCCGGGATCCCAGTCAGCGGCCCCGCGGGCAGCCGGGAACTCCCGGGGAGGGAGGGCGCTTCCAGCCGGGGCTCGCGAGGCACCGGTCCCCACGGGGATGGGAGGTGCTCGCGTTGGATGGGGATGGGCGGGGAGGAGGAGGGAAGCCGCGGCCCGAGGCGACCGAGACGCCGGGACTTCTGGGTCTCGGAGACCCGGGAGCCTAAGGCGGCCAGGACGCAAACGGGGGTGGCCTCGGCTCCCGCTCCGCGGCCGCGGGGCTCCCGAGAAAGACCCGGCGGGAGGACGGTGCCCGGGCGAGGGGAGTGGGCTGAGCGGCGCGAGGACCCAGGTCCGCACTCAGGCTGGCACCTCCCACCGCCCGGGGCAGGCGGGCGCCCAGAGACGCCGAGGAGCGGAGAGGGACCAGGCGAGCGAAGCCCCTACCCCCACTCTGGGTGGGGACACGGCCCTCGCCACCCCCCAGCCCGCGGCACATTCCTTCACTGACAGCCACAAAGAATTGGTGCCCCCGCGATCCAGGAGGGCTCTCGCGCCTGACCCCAGGGGACGAGGAGGGGTGGGGGGGGCCCGCAGGAGAACGGGGGCGCGCAGGGGGTCCCCGAGTGCCATTGGCACCGTCCGCGCGCCGCGTCCCCCACCCCAGCCCCCGGGAGTGTGGTGGGGAGGACCGGCTCGTGGAGGAGGGGGTCCGGACTCGGGGAGGGGACACTCACGACTTGAGCGGGTTCTGAATGGCGGTGGCCATGGCCCGCCCGGCTGGGCCGCCTCCGGCCCGGGGCGCCGCTGCCGCCGCCGCCGC